CAGCCCAGGCTACATATGGGACATATATACACTCTGGGCTACATGAAACTATTGTTTTTTAAAGAATGCTAAAATAATCTCGTCCTTTGGGGCTGTGCAACACCAGGTAGAAAAGCCGAGGCTCATTTCTAATGGAAAAATGCCATCAAGTATAAGGGCATCTTGACATCAAGACACTGCCTGAAACAAAAAGGTGTGCGAGTCTCCTATGACTCTTCCTTGAAGTGCTTCCTATTGAAATCTGCAGATATTCCCTTTATACCTATACAATTCAATAAATGTTTTCATGCTTCTGAAAAGCAGTATTCCCTACCAAAAAAATGTTGAGCTTCTTAAAGTTTTCTAGCTGAGAAGGCCAGTTAATTTTCCCTAAGAGTAAAATTACTTTCTGAAAAAAATTCAATTCTGGGTCCTTAACCTCACCTTCAGCACCATACAGTGAAGATGAAAACTCTAAGCCAGGTACGATCAGAAGCTACAAAACAATTTCTTAGATGGCCTTAATTGAGAATTTAAACATAATTCCAAATATTGAGAACACATTTGGCACAATTTCTTTGTGTTTACCTTTAGAGTAAATGAGATGTATCCTTTATTTTCATGATTTCACTAGTTTAGTATGAAATAAACTAACAGACTTGGAGTGAGTGAGACTGGCCAATGACAATCAGTTATTCTCTGTGAATGCTATTCTATACAGGCAAGGTAATGACATAATTATCTGTCTTTTTGGTCTATCTTCAACTAGTCTAACATTACACAATCAGTGAAAATTTTACAACAAAACAACACAAGTAGCTTTACACAAGTTGAACTTGTTAAATATATTTATTACGCTAGAATTTCTGACACAAAACTTGTTCACTGCACACAGAGTCTCAGAAATGATAAACAAGACAGCTGATGTCAGAAGGTCTCTGGGAGCGGAGTCCAGTAAGAAATCATGGATAAACTGAAAATTGGCAAGTACCTGCGAAGGCAGAGCCACTTTTTAAGGATACGTCAAAACTGAGAGGCCACCATTTTGGTCTCGTGGAGAAGCAATTTTACTAACTGCTGCAAAATGCAGGAGTCACATGGTTCTTCAAAAAGGATTCCTATAACCTGCAGTGCAAATGAAAAGAAAGCTAAGAAAATAAATAATCACAAAACTCCAACATTTTTCAAAGAAGTGTGTTCAAAACAGTGACTTACAAAAGATGGGAATTATTTCAAATGAAAAAAAAAAACTCTATATGAAAGACCAAACACTTATTTCACAGATAACTTAATACACTATTTATGATTTGATTAACAATGTACAAATAAGGGCTATAGATTTCTTTTTAACTCGGTCTGAAATATAAATACTGATGTTGGGGGGAGTGTTTTGCACCCCAAACTCCAATACTAAATTCTGTGTCTGTCCTGTTATTTAATTTGTAGAAAGCTTAACGGCGCAGTGATTCGAGCTTTCGTAATTTCAAGGATGTGTTAGAGGACAATGCATCGAGGTTTGAAGAACTGGCCGCATCCGAAGGCCGGAACAGTACTCGACCACGATGGTTAAATACATAAAAAGATGGGTGATTCCTTAAGGTATCAAATGTCTTATTCTTTAGTTCTGAAGTGGCATCCATGTCTTTAAACTCCCCTGCAATATGAACTATGCCATAACAGGTCACTGCAAAGGCCAGAAGTGTCTGAAGAACTGTATCTATTGGCAGTGATTCATCTTCCTTTTCTGTTAGTCGCATATAGGAACGATGCTGAGCAGCAGAAAAGGCAGCATGGGCTAGGGCGAAGAAGCCAACGCCTACTAGCCCCTTCCACAGAGATGGCGCCATGGTTAGGAAGGAGTGATAGCCCAACAAAAGAGGCAAAGGGCGGCTGAGCTAGCTATTCCTCCTTCCACCGGCGGGCGTCCACGCAGCGCAGGAACATGACGTCACTCTTAACTCCAAATCTTAGAGAAAAAGTTCTGCTTTCATTTTAGCAGAAAGGATTTCAGTTTATAACAAAGCAAAGAAGAACTATGCCTTTACTGAATAAGTAAATAAATAATGCCCAATGGCAACACCTCACAGTTTTATCAAAGATCAGGTATGCCTAAATACAAGTAGTGGAATAAATGACCTCACCTTTATGCCTATGAATTAACTGTTCAGAAACATATTTGTGTGTTACATGACTACTAATACTAGAGGGGCAAGGTCTGGAAATAATGAAACAATTATACTCAATTAAAACGACTGCTTGAGAATGCAAAGAGTTTCTTCAAATGTAAGAATTCTTTAATTCTAATTTTGTACAAGTTCATTCATCTCTTTTTTTGTATTTGAAACTTCATGATATTTACTTGACTATTTTGAGACATAACAATAAGAGGCAGGTTTTTGTTATTGTTTTTTCTTTTTGTGGTACTAAGAATTAAACCCAGAGCTTCATGAAAGTGAAGAGAGTGCTCTCCCAACTGCATTATATCCGCAGCCCCACAGACAAGTTATGAACTGCCATTGTTTCTCTCTCCCAGATGGTAAAAATAGTCACTGAAGGGCTGAGAGTCAAGTCAAGAATGCATTAAAGTTGGGGCTGGAGAGATGGCTCAGCGGTTAAGAACACTGGCTGTTCTTGCAGAGGACCCACAAGGTAGCTAACAAATGTCTGTAATTCCAGTTCCAGGGGATTTGACAGCCTCTTCTGTCTTCTGCGGGCATTGCACAACACAGGTGCACTTACTTACATGCAGGCAATACACAAATATACATTAAAATAAAAATAATAATAAAAATTTGAAAAAAAAGTGCACTAAAGTCAACAGGCTGAGAAAAAGAAGCTGATGGCTAATTCCAGTCCAGCTGCTCACTGGGAGCCTACCCTCCACTAGGGGTTCAGAGGCCAAAGGGCACCCTTTCCTCCTCTCTAACTTCGAGTTTCTTATAAACATTCTTGTATTTGTAGAAACAATGGAAGGAGTAGCATGTTGTAGATCCATCCATATACTCCAAGCCTACATTCAATACTACTGATGTTTTGGCATTTGTGTGTGAGTTCTTTTCCAATAAAACACTTGTGGGTGCAGTTGAGCATTTAAAAATACTTTACAGAGGCCAGAGAGATGGCTCAGTGGGTCAGAGCATTTGCTGTGAAAGTAAGAGGATCTCAGTTCAAAATTCAGACATGGCCATGCATTACCTGTAACCCTAGCATTCGGGAGTGGAGATAGTTGGATTGAGGGAGTTTGCTGGCTGGCTTGAGGTTCAGTGAGAGACTGTGTCTCAAAATTAAGGTGGAACACCTTGTACGGTGGCTCTGGCCTTTATCCCAGCACTTGAGAGGCAGAGGCAGACAGATCTCTGTGAGATCGAGGTCATCTTGGTCCACATAGTGAGTTCCAGGCAGGCTGGGGCTAGAGAGACCCTGTCAAAAATAAACAAACAAATAAATAAATGAATAAATAAATAAGGTGATGCATGCCTTTAATCCAGCACTCAGAAAGCGGAGGTACATGGATCTCTGTGAGTCTGAGGCTAACCTGTTCTACATAGTCAATCCCAGGTCAGCCACAGCTACATAGTGAGCCTCTGTCTCACAAAAATAAAATAAAGATAGAGGGATTGGAGAGATAGCTCAGAGTGCATACTAATTTTGCAGAAGGCCCTAATTTAGCTTCAAGTACCCACTATAGGTGGCTCACAATCACTTGTAACTCCACCTCCAGGGGCTTCAACACCTCTGGCCTCCAAGGATACCTATACTTGCATGCATGTACACACACACACACACACACACACACACACACACACAAATATTAAAAATAAGGTGAAGAGTAACAGAGGAAGATACTCCATCTCCTGCTCTGGCCACCACATGTGCCACATGTTCACACACGTGAACATATATTACATACATTAATTAGTGAATTTTAAAATGCATCCTGGGTATGGAGAGATGGCTCAGCAGTTAAGAGCACTGGCTGCTCTTCCAGGGGACCTGGGTTTGGTTCCCAGCACCTAAATGGTGGCTAGCAACCATGTGTAACTCCAGTTTCAGGGGATCCAATGCCTTCTTCTGGCCTCCATAAGCATTGCATGACACAGGTGCAATTACATAGATGCAGGCAAAGACACTCATACACATAAAACAAACACATAAATAAATAAATTTTTAAATGCATCATAAGCAACATGGTGGCCCTAACTACTATCTATCATCTATCTATCTATCTATCTATCTATCTATCTATCTATCTATCTATCTATCATCTATCTATATCTATCATCTATCTATTTATTGTCTCTCAATAGCACCTTAGACTGAACTTAAACTTGTGATCCTTTTGCCTCAGTTTCCTGAATGCCTGGATTACATACTTGTGCTACTATGCTCACTTATGACCCTTGGCTCTTATTTAAATGTAACTTTAAAATAAGGACACTTTGCTTTTGTTACTTTTTTCAATGCTGGGGATGGAATAACCCAGGACCTTGCATCTGCCAGGTAAGTGATACCACTGAGTGACATCCCCAGCCTTTCCTAATCATTTTTTTTCTTGATTCATGAACACAGCAATGCATTCTGGAATTGGAAACAGAATATATAGACTTAAATTCCTGGCTCAAGCTCTCAGGAGGTAGAAACAGGAAGACAGGGTTCTATGCCAGCTTGGGCTAAATAGTGAGATCCCATGTCAAAACAAAGTAAAATGACATGAAGCCCCGGCTCTTACGTCTGTTACGAGGCTCCAGGAGAACCACACAGCTCTTGGGTCTTGGTTTTTGCCTCTCTGCTTGGGTTGGATCAGTGGTTTTTAATTCTGACTGCATAGCAGAATCTCTCAGAAGTTTTAAACTAGTCTGGAGTGGGGTGTGAGGGTGGTACTGGTGATTCTAAGATGTAACCAGAGTAGAGAATCAATGGACTAAACTCTGTCGCTCTCTCTGGGCTTGAGTAGTAATGGAGCCAGCTCCTCTGTCCATCTTGTAAGACCTAACCGAGCATTTTGTGTTTGCTGCCTGTAGTTTCCGTGCATGTGTGGAATGCTTCATTCAAGAACCATGATGCTGGGTGGAAGCTACAGTGAGTCTGAAGCCAATAGCCTGGCTGGGTACCCAAGAAGCCATATTCTTCCAGAAGAAGAACAGCAAGACAAAATAGTGGTCCACCTGTCCCTGAGCAGTGAATCCACCTTCTCCAGGAAGAAGGGCCTTTTTAAGGACCATATGGGGCTTTCCATCTTCCAGAATACCCATGCCATCGACAAATACTCCAGGAGGTTGATATTCCCAGCCTTCTACATATTTTTCAACCTAATTTATTGGTCAGTGTTTTCCTAGGGACTCCAAGGCCACGCCTAGGAATGGCCATGGACATACAACAAGGACACATGGACCTGAAGGTCACGTTCCCCATACCGAGCCAAGCAGTTGCTCCTTGACCACCTTGAACACCTTGCTGTAACATGGAGGGGCCCAGGGGCCTCCAGATGCCCTCACCATACCTTTGTGGATTTATTTCTAGTTCATGCTGCATTCTACAGCACACTTTCCATCTCTCTGAACACAGCTGTCTCTGTTGTGTCTGAACTTGTTTACAAGAACTCCCCTCTTATTTAAAAAGACTTAATGCCTCTTAGATGTCCTGAGACCCTCATGAAGCCAAGAATTCAGCATGGAAAGAAAGAGAAAATGAAGGGCAGGTTGAGGGGGCATTCTAGGTAAGAAACTAGGAACAAAAATCTATGAACCCATACAGTTGGATTAAGTGCCTACCTGGGGAAGGAAGAAACTCTCAGATATGAGACAGGAAGTGATTTGGCCTGCGTGAACTGGCAACTCACATGATTTTATAGATATTAGGGGAATTATTCACTTACCACCTCCTCATTCAACCACTCATTAAATATTGAGTCCCTACCCTGTGACTGGAACTGTAGAAATGAGCGAATCATCTTTTCCCTCTGAGAACTCTACGCTATGCTTTCTGCACACATAATGTATTGCTGTCTTCCCACTTGTCCACAAACCCATTTTGTTACTGGTGTTTCTATTCCAAGGCTGTCTAGAAAAGCAATTCCAGGCTCTTGTGATGTTATCACGAAGCAAGCTCAGTGCTTCTCTCCTGGAATATCCACCTCATACTCTAGAATGATTTTCTCCCCTTACTTCTACACTCTAGTGGCCCTTTCTTCTACTGCAGCTGAGTCAGAGTGAAGAAGGTGATCTGGCTTATTGAATCAACATTATGTTGTGAATCGTCATTTCTCTTAACCTTGTGCTAGGAGATGGCTAAATAACTTGAGGAAATCTCTAAGTAGCAGAATTTTGGGTTTTGATAAGGAGCTCTTCTTTTAGGGCATGGTTTTGATAAGGAGCTCTTCTTTTACTTCACAGCCCTCAGGGTCAGAGGCAGTTCTCGGGGAATAAGAGGGAATGTCCACTCCTAGTTCCTTGCTCAGTGAAGGCCATTGCTCTTCTCTCTTTCTTACTGTCCCCACCATTTCCTGTAAGGATCTGGATATTTTGTCAAGAGTAGAAAAGTGGTCAGCGAAAGTGGGTATAACCTTGCTTCAAATCAAGAAAGTTCTGACCTGTGTAGCCTCTTCTACGGTCCTGGTCCTCTCACTTCCTTAGCACAGCTGGCTATTCCTTCTCTAGGGTCAGTCTCCCATCCATTCCCTCTGTTCCCTTAATACATCTTGTGTCAACCTGATCTCAGTTACTTGCTTTACCAGGCCTCTGCCCATGCCGAAGGAAAGTTGAGGAGAGACAGGTACAGAGCTGAATTGTTCTCTCCCATTGGCCTATCTGGATTGTGCTTCTTTCCCCCAGCAACGATATGTGAAATGTGCATGGAATTTTGCCAACCAGAGAAATTCACTGAACATATCAAGGTATACAGAGATTTTATGGAAGCTTGGACGTAGCTGATTGCCTACATGACTGACCTTAGTCTCCAGCCCTTCCAGAGGTTGAGCTGATACCTTGAGTTCAAGGTGCCCATCAATGGTTCTGGAGGCTAGGAAGTCCAAGAACATGGTACTAACGTCAAGTGAGCCCCCCTTGAACCCAGAGTCTCAAGTGTGTCAGTCAAGCCCTCTATCCTTTGATTTATTTTGAAATATACCTCACTAAGGTGTCCAACCTGGCTTCAATCTTGTGATCCTCCTACCTTGGGCTCCTGAGTGCTGGAGGCTAAATGTATGCCACCATACCCAGCTTGAGGAGGGCCTTTCTCACCACATTATAACATGATGGAGGGTATCACATGATAGGCAGAGGAGGTGTGCTGGTTTGGGTCTCTCTTCCTATAAAGCTATCCTGAGGACCCTTCCTTCATGACCTCATCTAATCTAATTGTCTCCTGTACTGGTTACTTTTGTGTTGATATGACAAAATACTTGACAGAAGCAACTTAAGGGTGGAAGGGTTTAGTCTGGCTCATGGTTTTAGCCCATCATGGTGGGAAAGTAGTGGAGAGGTCATGGTGGCAGGAATGTGTGGCAGAGTCTCTCATCTTGGGGGATTAGGAAGTAGAGGACTCAGATAAGAACCAGAAGCAGATATAACCTTCCAGCATCCCCACCTCACTCCATAATCACTTCCACTAGTTAGGCCACATGTCCCAAAGATACCACAGCCCCGCTACCAGCAAGGACCAAGTGTTCAAACAGGAGCCTTTGGAAGACATTTTACATTCAAACCACAGTGACTCCCAAAGGACCAGCTTTTCAATACAATTACCAAGTGAATCTGGGAATTGAGTTTCCAATACATGAACTTTTGAGGGTTATACTCAAATCATAACATATGTTCAGGGCCAGGGCCACAATAATGGCTCAATGTGTAATGCAAATTCTGAAGAAGGAAAGACTGGATCCCACCGGGAAGAGGTTCACAAGGAAAAAGCAGCCCCTCGATGCTCTTGACAGTGGGGATTTGGAGAGGAAAAATTGGGGCCAATATATGCTAGGTCTGTGCTCTCTAATGTATGGTGACCACTTGCCATCTGTGTATTTAAATTTCAATTAACTAAAGTTAAATAAAACTGGAATTCATTTGCTCGGTGACACTAACCTCACTTTAAGCACTCAGCTCAATATCTACATGTACCTTTAGTTTCCTTATTGGACAGTACAGGCCTCTAGAACATTTCACAGTGGCCAAAGATCCCTTAAATGAAAGGATCAGCCTGTGTGAATGCATGGGCAGAGGGAGGAAAATTTGGAATTGCAGAAACACATAAAGTATGTGGGGCAGGCCACTCATTGCAGTTGGATCTGAGGCTGTGGGAAGAATAGGTAGAGACCAGCTTTTCTACCATGGTAGGGTCCATGGCAGATCTCCACATGTCAGCACTACGAGGGTAGCCTCCCCTCCTTGGATCTGCCTGGCCCAAGATGAGCCAAGATCACTGGATTTCAGCCAAGAACTCAGTGGGTAAAAAATGGTAATTGGCCAGGTGTGGTGGCGCATGCCTTTAATCCCAGCACCCGGGAGGGAGGCAGAGGCAGACAGATCTCCATGAGTTCAAAGCCAGCCTGGTCTACATAATGAGTTCCAGGACAGCTGGGGAAAAAAAAAAAAAAAAAAATTTTTAAAAACAAAAAAAAAAAAAAAAAAAAAAAAAAAAAAAAGTAATTGGGTGGTAGAGGGCTTCTGGACTATTTTGGAAACGTTTCATCTCTAAAGACTCTGTCTGCCAGGCCACAATGTGGCTCTAAGAGTCCTAATTGTATGGTCATCAGTCATGTATTGCTTTGGTTGAAAGTCTTAATTCCAGCACTACTCTGCTTTGGCTTACATTGTCCTAATAAATTGTTCTTCATTACAAAAGTGCCTGTTCACAAAAAAAATAAAGGGTATTTGGGATTAATTCTAAAACAAATATATGTAGAATCACAAGTGTGTTTCCATCCTGTGGGACCATGACACAACGACAGCATTGCATTTAGCACCAGCTCATTTCGCTAGAAGTGTTTGCTTCTACTTGAGAAAAACAGACAATGAAAGGAGGGGAACTGGAAAGAGCAGGAGCAGGAGATGGAGCTAAGGAAAGAGTCAGAAGACAGAGGAACGAGCATTTGTTACTGGGGCATTTGAATGCTGCTTTATTTCATTAGATTTATCTGCTGAATCTAAGATAAAGCAGATGTTATATGGACTCTGATTTTGCGTAGCACTAAGACAGAACACAGCTCTGCTAATTGCATTATGGCATGCAGTAATTCATATTAAATTAATCTTGCCAGTATTAGAGCAAAGGAAGTGAATATTATGGAAAAACTGGTGGCGGTGGCTCAACGTACTTCACAGATACCAAGGAGTCTGCATTCACTCAGAACCATCGTCAGGATTTCCTGCTGGGAAGGGCGGGCAGCAGGTCAGTGGAACACACCTCAGTCACCAAGGAGCTGTTTGTGGTGGTCTGCGTGTGTGTGTGCGCACGTGCGTGCATGTGTGTGTGCATGCACGCGCCGTAACCTGGGATTGAACCATGTGGTTATTTGTGAGCGACAGATAGGAATGAATATTGGCAGGAGGGCAGTACAAGGAGAAGAGAGCAGGCATGTTCAGGGAACGATGAATCAAACCTTTTATAACATACAAAAGAGATTTGAAAAGTAAGTTGGACCAAGAAAGGTTTTGCTCAAGGGAGAATTATTTTGGAAAATTAATTTGTTTATAGAATGTAAAATTATGTTTTCAAACTCTGTTAGGTTTCAGTGACAGAAATATAAATGAAATACCATCAGGGCTCATGGAATGGAAGAAGCTGAGAAGCTCTGGGGACTTGCAGGTTTGAAGGACTTACTAGGTCCTTCCAGGATTATCTCTCTCCATTTCTGTCTCCATTCTACCCACTGAAGACAGGCTTTCTCTCCTGGCTGGATGGGGGCAGTAGGTGAGAGGCAGGTTATGACTGTGCTCAGGACTCTGGTGGCAAGAATTTTTCTATCTAGAATAAATCCAAGCATGAAACTGGGCTTATCTGGTCTGGGCCATGTTTGTTGAAGATGGTCAGAGTTTGTGCTAGTTTAAGTGTAGAAAGTTAAAATCCTCCCAAACCATTTTTATTTGGTTCAAACTCTCTGTAAATATCTGTAAAAGAAAGACCATGAATTTGAAAACAACTAGGTTTCTGTTTGTGGGAACCATTGAATAAAGAAAAAAAAAATGATTGTAACAGCAGGAAAAGTTCACACTAAGTTTAGCTGTGGTGTGAGTCACAGCTTTCAAAAAACTGCAAAGGAAAAAGAACTGCTTTGTGTGGAGGGAGATGGGGAGTTTGGGTGTGACAAGAAGATGGACATGTCAAATGAAAAGCTGTAAGAGCTGGGTTGGGAGGCAGATAAAGATCTGAGACCCCTACATATACTAAGTGAAGCCAAGGAAGGATCCCAACTGGGAGAAAGGGGGAGGTCCAAGGAAAAGCTGTGAACACTTATGTGGGTAGGAAGAGGAGAGATCGGTCTCAGCTGGGAGAGGAAGACTCTCAAGGAAGGAGAGAGGCTGGGGCAGATCGCCATGATCACTGTGAATGGCGATGACTGATCAGAGGGCAAGGTGTAGGTAGGAGCTTGGGTGGAACAAGTGCCCAGGTAGATGCCCTTCATTGGTAAAGAGGACTTCTCTCAACCACACATGCTTTAGGTCTTCAAGAATTAATGCTACATATTATGGAACGATTGTGATTGATTCTCACTTTTTGGAGAATTAAAAAATGATACAGTGACATAGTTGGTCTGAATGAAAGTTGTGTTCTTGATGGTAGTTCCCCTAAACCTTTTATTACACTGCAATTTGGGGAAAATTATGTAGGAATGGAGCTTTTAACTGGATCATCAGGCCCTGCCCCAGAGCTTGGGAGTATTTGTGCCATCCTCTGACTCACACTAATGGGGTGGGTACTGTCTCAGCTATCACAGAAGATACAAGGACAGACATTCAAGTAACACTGTACAAAAGACCAAGTATTGGGTGCATTCCCTGTGCTCAGCACTATAGTGAACACCCTTTATGTCTCTTCACCTGTGGCTCTTAACTCTGGCTGAATCACTTGGAGAAGTTTTGAAAACTATGAATGAACTACTTGTGATGGTGAACATTTTAGTACCATCACCCAGGAGACTAAGAAAGGAGGATCTTGAGTTTAAACTCGGCCTGTATTGCATAACAAGCACTTATCTTTAAAAACAAAAACAAAAACAAAATGTGAGGGGTTAGAGAGATGGATCAGTGGTTGAGAGCACTTACTGCTCTTGCAGAAGATTCTGGTTCAGTTCCCAGCACCCACATCAAGCAGCTCTCAA